ATAATCAACTCGTTTTACCTCGATATTTCTGTGTTTTTTGTTCTCTTGGGCTTGCTAGATACGCAACCATTTGGCAAAAGGTGAAAAATCGCATAGGTTCAACTTAATTCTCTACAAAATGACGTTGGGACATTTGCATTTAATTCAGTAATTGTTGAGTATTTTGTATTTGAATTGGTGTTAAACTTGTTAATTTTCTGTTGCTTAATAGCTGTGTTGAACATAATATTTATTAATATTATTTAGAAGGTGGAAGTGGTAATGCTTCTCACTCCACAAGTTATTTGCTTGTTGGCAGTGCTAATAGCCATGGATTTAAAGCCATTATTTTGATAATCGCATTAATCAACTCCATTTTTAACCCTTTAAAATATTACGATTATCAAAATACAACGCCAAATTACTCTGCTTCCAACACTTTTCCGATGTATGAATCTATTTATCAAGATCATCAGGATAATCTTCAATGATACTGAATTTAAGTAGATGGTGGAGGTACCATCTCTTGTTCATCAAGTTGAATCTTCCATCATTTGGTGAGGGAGCAACTTCTCCCTTTCATATTGTTTAATAAATTATTGTTATTATCATATAATGATACAATTCTTGTTGTTGTTTGTTGTTAATTGTTGTTCTTAATAGAAGCTGACAATTCCCCCTTAATGGTCATACAACCACTGGGTTCTTCATATAAAGCATTTCTAGAAATTAAAGCTATAGCACTGTTGGTTCGGTGGTTGTATGTTGGAGCGTCAATTAAGGGACGAGTGATCGATTCAAGGTGATTTTACTAACTTATTCATTATTACCACCTTATTTTTTTAGATCTTCCTTAATACTTGACAATTTTAAAAGATATTGATACCACATATATAATACTACATATAAACAACTCTATGTCAATTTCAATTGATTTAGCCAAGTATTCATTGATATAGAGTATGATCTGTGACATGATGTATTGACAACTTTACAAATATTGATTTAAACAATATAGTTATTTAGAAGAGTCTTATTAATTTGTAATAAATATACTATTTTTCAATTTTCAATTGTTGACTTGATGTACTTAATTGACTTGTCTATTCTAAGGTACTTAGGTGACTTGAAGATACTGAGCCATCAATTTGAAACTTTCTCAGATTGTACTCCTCATCAAGAGGAGTGTATTCATATTTGATACTAGTATGATATTTTGTAAACTGACTGAGATGGAGTGTAATCTCTTTTTTGAAATGTGATATTTTGAAAGATTGTTATTATTATCATATTGAATTCAATTCTAAAACTATGAAATTGATACCAGATGTAAAATAGTGTGACTAAACGTATTGGGTAAAGTTACAGAATGATTGGAATAACTTTCACTGAGATGGAGTGTTCACTAGGATATATATAATGTTGATATCTGTTGAAGGGATTCACCGGCTTTTTTAACGGGATCCCTCATAATTTGACAGGATCCTCCATTTTACTTCCAAGCGCGCTTGAAAACCGTTACATTAAAAATTTAACAAATTCTAATTTACAGGTTAATTTCCACTCTTCAACAAACAACATCAACAAAAAAATAGGCAACGTGTTACGGGCAATACCACATCTCCTCTAGCAAGGTCCTTTCTCTTCATCATGCCCCACCACACTACCAGATAAGACTTGCAAGCAATACAGGAAGCTATCTTCCGTTCACATGGTTGTTGCCACTTCTGCTCTCATCACAGTTCTCTTTGAATGACCTGTTATGGTTCTCATGGAGGAGGAAGACATTCCCATTGGTGAATATTGTGTTCCTGAACATACAACTACAACCAATATTGTTTTGGTTGTAGAAACAATAATAAAACTTAAATTTTTTAAATATTTGTTGTTGGACTTTATTTGCTTATTTGGTACTCAGTCCGAAACAACCTTCCATTTCAGTTCCACTTCAACTGAGTTGAGTTTGAAAAATAGCTCAACTTTAACCCTGCATATCTTTGTCCAGACAATAAATATCAACAAACCAATGATTGTGGTTATATTTCAAGATGTTTTGAGTACATATCTCGATATTTGGAGCTTGGCATATACTGGTTCTGGTTTTATTGGATTTTGAAATTTTCATATATGTTTTCACTCAATTGAGGTTTTCAATCGACCTACTACACATAAACTGCTGAAAACAATTCTGATGATAGTTAACATACAGGCGCACACCATACAAGTTAAATTATGATGAATCACTAAGTAACTATTCTGTTGTGGGTCATCAAAGTTGGGATCCCGTTAAAAAAGCGGAGGGAGTTTGTGTATAGATATTGTGAACTGACTCTGTTGGATACCAAATCTATAAATATAACAAGACGAAAAGTGTCAACATTCAATTTCACATGCATCTCACTTTAGAAAGTCATCATTATATCATCTAAATAGGTAGCACTTAAAGTGTCAGTGGAAT